GTTAATTTATCAGAAAACAAATGAAATCCGCCAAAATGTTTTCCAAATAACCTCCTTGTAAGATATATTAATTTCATTGACATGGTTACAACATCCACTTCATCTACATGGTTACACTATCTATTGCTTAAAATGTAACAAGAAAATATATCAATTCTTATCTCAGATGCAAAGGATATTTTACAAACTTGTGTGCTACAAATGAAATATTATACTATTAGATTTTTCATATGTAGTATGTAATTAATTCAGTGTATGTACTTATGCAAACATGGCATAATGTAGCATTGAGTCACTGGCCAGCTCTAACATTTAAAGCACACTGCACCTACCATATTTGCCGGCACATTTTACTCTTAAATCTCTGCCTGATTTTACCCCTCATCTTATACACAGGTTCAAAGATAGAGTTCCAGTAAGAACTCTCCAGTTAATAGCATATTTAACAAAAACTGCATTGTTCCTTTTATTTTTGTTTGCTTTTTGAGTAGGTGTGTTGACATTGTGCCACCTACTGCATTACAATAGCATATTTGTAATTGTATCATTTTTCTCTGTTATTCGTAACTAGAAGTTATTTATCTCGCATGTTACAGTCAATCAAGACATTTTTTTTATTTGAAATGCATTGATCTCATCCATCATAATAAAATATTGCTAATATTATATCAAAAAAAAGCTAGTTTCTATGTTGTACACTAATTTTGTGAGCATGTTTTTATAGTAGAGTACTATATTCTAAAGTTTAGTATTTTTTCTTTGGACCTCTATCTGTTGATATCAGTTTGTAAAAATCAATTCCAAAAAACAATTATCACCCTACATCCATTCTTTAACTGATGCTTCAATAGATCTGGGCACGGCTCAAGTGATTTTTTTACAGACCGTGGGCATAATCTAGGTACTTTTCTCAGGTCCCCTCCCTCCTACTCTTATCATAAGTTGTGGGTGTCATTAAAGTGAACAACGTAAGCTGACATCACAACTGCTTTGATTATCATAGTTTATCATTACTATGTATTTTAGATGAAGAGCATGTTGTTGCTTTTAATATAACGTACTTCTTAGACAAAGCATGAATTTTCATCTCATGAAAAGCCCCAATTATAATAAAAATAGATAGCTTAAAATAGGGTAAGAAAACATTTTGAAAAATAAATATTTTTTCCCCAGTGGTGCACACCCTCAAAGCTGTTCTCTCCTTCTCCCAGTTACAAAGGGAGCTCTTGCCTGCACACCCCCTTTCACTTTTCTTTCAAGGTCATCAAATAAGTTTTTGTTTTTAAATACTGCAGCCCTGTCTCTAACTATCATTCATATAAACAAACTGACAGCTAACATTAGATGCCCCAACCAAATACTACCTAATGATGTGGATGTGTCAAAATATGTTTCATAAATCCTTTTTAACTCACTACTTACACGAAAAAATCTCAATTAATGCACGCACACACAACTCAAAAATTAAATATTTACAAATTGTTTGGTTGTGGTTTGCAGACAATGTTTACTAGAATCAGAAGTGTTGCTAGGTGTTTAAAAATATTTGGGCTTGGGCTCATAGGCATGGGAATTTTTAGCATTTCAGTATAGTATCAATCATGGTTTTCTATTCTGATTTTTCAAGATGCCAAGTGGGGATTTGGAGCATGGGCCCCATGTGCCAGCACCTAGCAATGCCTTTGACTAAAACATCAATTTAAAACTTTTAAAAGTACTAATAGACTAAATGTGAAAGCAGTGGTGACCTTCATGAAAGAAATTAACACTTGCTTAAGAAAGCTGAAAATAAAGAGTGTTGTTAAACAAAAGTAAAATTTAAAGATTTTGAAAATAGAGATGATATCAACTTAAGTAACACAGGAATGCTTTTTCAAAAGTACATCCATAAGATGCCAATGATTACTAAGTTTAATTTTCTATTTTGGTTAACAATGTACCATCTTAACTAATCCAATTTAACAAAGTTCTTTAGTGAGTAGATCCACTGAATGATGCCAATAATATAAGTTTAATTTATAAATAGTTAACAATATAACACCTCACTAACCCAACAAAGCTCTTTAGTGGGTAGATCCGAAGGATGGTTGGGTCATCTACATAGGTGAAAGGGTTGGGGAACATTAGACTAGCATTGTCAACTTGAAGGATCAACTGTGCCACATTGTACGATGGATGGGGGGCTCTAGTTGTATGACAGCTGATCTGTCTGTTACTTGCTAATGTTCTGAAAAATGGGGAAAAAGTCATCAGCATCCAAATACAAAACACAATATAGAAAAGGAATATATTTCATTAACAGTGATTTAAACACACTGTTACATCTTATTATAAATTTTCCATCAAAGACACAGAAATACAGTTTGCTATAAAACATTATACTTAGTATAAGTGCATGCACAAATAGACTTAAGTTGCATGCTTACCCACAGTAATATCTATGATATCGTTCAGTCCCATTTTTATAGTATATCATGTTGTCAGATTCATAATATTTCTAAACACAACTGACATTTCTGAAATTAGGTGGACACCATTCAATAACAATTCACTCCTAACATTAGTCAATAAACCTATGAACTCTAACAATATTTATTTTTTAATTCATACGTATTAATTGGTATACCCAACCTGAACTGTACCTTATACACATACAAGGGCTAAGCAGGAAGGTCAGTAATCCCAAGTTTCAGCCATTCTTAATTTTGAAGTACTGACCAAAAGAGAAAGCATCCAGCTAGCAGTACCCACCACTAAAAGGGTTTTGTTCACCCTTGAATCAAGTAATGGGAACTATCATTCTTATAATGCACCCACAGCTGAAAGTGTGAAGCACATCTAGCAGCATTACTGTGTGAATCTTTAGATTTTTCAACTTGTCCAGCCAAATTAATATGTAATAGTACCAACATACAAAACTCACTGTAGTTTCTTTTATATGTATTTAACAATTAAACAAGCTGTAGATTCTATTAATAGTCTGTTATTACATTTTATGTACTTCATTACTGATAACTTTGAAATGAAACATAGACAAAATTAGCTGAAAAATTATTACAAATTATAATTGGAACAGTATTATAACTAACTATTGGGAGCTTGAAATATATATATGACTTCTAAACATGTATTACAGCTATCTTCTCACTGTTAATAAAACACTTTATACAGATAGCCTCACCTGTAAACAATACAAGGCATATATATATATATATATGACATCTAAACATGTATTACAGCTATCTTCTAGCTGTTAATAAAACACTTTCTACAGACAGCCTCACCTGTAAACAAAACAAGGCAAATATATATATGACATCTAAACATGTATTACAGCTATCTTCTAGCTGTTAATAAAACACTTTCTACAGACAGCCTCACCTGTAAACAATACAAGGCAAATATATATATGACATCTAAACATGTATTACAGCTATCTTCTAGCTGTTAATAAAACACTTTCTACAGATAGCCTCACCTGTAAACAATACAAGGCAAATTATCCAAGAAAACTTGTATGTTACTTCCAATGTTTAGGTTTGAACCACTTAGAAAGAGGCGTGTGCCCCCAGCCTGAGGCCCTTTGTTTGGATAAACTTTTGTTAAACTGATATTCTGTAAAAGAAAGGTTTCACACGTTATTGCACAAATTACAACATATAAAGTTTTACCCTGGTTATTTATTGTAGTCCTGTTGAAAAATGACAAAATTTACAACAGATGCCTTTAATTACCCTTGTTCTTATTTATTGTAGTCCTGTTGAAAAAATGACAAAATTCACAACAGATGCCTTTAATTACCCTTGTTCTTATTTATTGTAGTCCTGTTGAAAAATGACAAAAATTCACAACAGATGCCTTTAATTACCCTTATTCTTATTTATCCTTGTCTTGTTTAAATATCACAAAATTCACAACAGATGCCTTTACCCTGGTTCTTATTTATCCTTGTCTTGTTTAAATATCACAAAATTCACAACAGATGCCTTTACCCTGGTTCTTATTCATCATTGTCTTGTTTAAATATCACAAAATTCACAACAGATGCCTTTAATTACCCTTGTTATTTATTCTAGTCTTTGAAACTTTTATATACTACGGGTATAAAACAAACTTAGATGAATAAACAATTTAGACTGCAGTTCTGAAAAACATTGAGTCAAACAGAAACATGATATAATAGACTGAACACTTTTCATTACAATTTACTTTATAACACGTGATGTGACATATTCTACACTCCTTCTTACACTACTAAATATGTGATAAACCTGAAAGTACACTCCTTCTTACACTACTAAATATGTGATAAATCTGAAAGTACACTCCTTCTTACACTACTAAATATGTGATAAACCTGAAAGTACACTCCTTCTTACACTACTAAATATGTGATGAACCTGAAAGTACACTCCTTCTTACATGACTAAATATGTGATGAATCTGAAAGTAAACTCCTTCTTACACTACTAAATATGTGATAAACCTGAAAGTACACTCCTTCTTACATTGATTAAATATGAGATGAACCTGAAAGTACACTCCTTCATACATGACTAAATATGTGATGAATCTGAAAGTAAACTCCTTCTTACACTACTAAATATGTGATAAACCTGAAAGTACACTCCTTCTTACACTACTAAATATGTGATAAACCTGAAAGCACACTCCTTCTTACATGACTAAATATGTGATGAATCTGAAAGTACACTCCTTCTTACACTACTAAATATGTGATGAACCTGAAAGTACACTCCTTCTTACATGACTAAATATGTGATGAATCTGAAAGTACACTCCTTCTTACATGACTAAATATGTGATAAACTGAAAGCACACTCCTTCTTACGTGACTAAATATGAGATGAACATGAAAGTACACTCTTTCTTACACTACTAAATGTGTGATAAACCTGAAAGTACACTCCTTCTTACACTACTAAATATGTGATAAACCTGAAAGCACACTCCTTCTTACATGACTAAATATGTGATGAATCTGAAAGCACACTCCTTCTTACATGACTAAACATGAGATGAACCTGAAAGTACACTCCTTCTTACACTAAATACGTGATGAACCTGAAAGCACACTCCTTCTTACATGACTAAATATGTGATAAACCTGAAAGTACACTCCTTCTTACATGACTAAATATGAGATGAACCTGAAAGTACACTCTTTCTTACACTACTAAATATGTGATAAACCTGAAAGCACACTCCTTCTTACATGACTAAATATGTGATGAATCTGAAAGTACACTCCTTCTTACATGACTAAATATGTGATAAACCCGAAAGCACACTCCTTCTTACACTACTAAATATGTGATAAACCTGAAAGTACACTCTTTCTTACATGACTAAATATGAGATGAACCTGAAAGTACACTCCTTCTTACATGACTAAATATGTGATAAACCCGAAAGCACACTCCTTCTTACATGATTAAATATGAGACGAACCTGAAAGTACACTCCTGCATACATGACTGGTTTATCACATATTTTGAAAGTACACTCCTTCTTACACTCAGGTTTATCACATATTTAGTCATATTTAGTCATGTAAGAAGGAGTGTACTTTCAGGTTCATCTCATATTTAGTCATGCAAGAAAGAGTGTACTTTCAGGTTCATCTCATGTTTAGTCATGTAAGAAGGAGTGTGCTTTCGGGTTCATCACATATTTAGTAGTGTAAGGAGGAGTGTACTTTCAGGTTCATCACATATTTAGTAGTGTAAGAAGGAGTGTACTTTCAGGTTTATCAAAAATACACTCTTCTTACACTACTAAATATGTGATAAACCTGAAAGCACACTCCTTCTTACATGATTAAATATGAGATGAACCTGAAAGTACACTCCTTCATACATGACTAAATATGTGATGAACCTGAAAGTACACTCCTTCTTACACTACTAAATATGTGATAAACCTGAGAGTACACTCCTTGTTACACTACTAAATATGTGATGAACCTGAAAGTACACTCCTTCTTACATGACTAAATATGTGATAAACCTGAAAGTACACTCCTTCTTACACTACTAAATATGTGATGAACCTGAAAGTACACTCCTCCTTACAGTACTAAATATGTGATAAAACTGAAAGTACACTCCTCTTTACATTATTAACATGTGATGTACTACACTATACACTTTTCCTTACACTACCAAGCACATGATATAGCAGACTCTACATTTCTTAACACTAATAAAGAAATAATGTAGAAAACTATATACATTTTTACACTACAAAAAACACATAATGTAGCAGACTACATTTTTACATAACTAAAGGAATATGTAACAATCTGTACATATGTTCTTCTTTATACTATAAAAACACATAGTGTAGCAGGCTGTACATTTTTTCCTTACACTATAGTATTCAGGTTCACTGATATCTTCCAGAAAGAAATCAATTATTCACAAAATGCATGTTATGGAAACATTATATAGAAAGTAATAATGAAATCAGACAGGAAAAAATCACAAACATAAAAATATTTAGTCACAAAACAAAGGATGAATACGTCTTTTACTCTACTGGCTGAGCTCTATTTCCTCTTAGTGACTTCTCTCTGGCTGCTGGCGTAGAGAGAATGTTCCTAACACGTTCACACAATGTAAGAAGTGCATGAAGAATAATTTAATACCACAAATTCTAGTCAAACTAGGGTTATAAGTGGTATCCTTAGATTATCAACTTCAATGATCATTCCAAATTTTAAATATATACAAGGGAGGTAACCCGAACACATACTAACTTGTACAAATCTTTCTATAACCCCTTGATATATACTTGTAGAAACAGACACAGGGAAAAGCTGGTATAAACTTCTATGGAATAGCCAGTTAAGTACATAACAATGATTTGCATGTGCAAGAGCATTAGTATATGTTTAGGACCTTCGCACATAGCATTTACAAGAATGTCAAAATTACATGCTGAACACTGACATGAAATATGGAAAAAAATGTGAATATGCTTAAACAATTAAACTGTATGCTTTTATTTACACTATTAAATACACAATGTAGCACACTGTGCACTACTAGTTACACAATGTATCACACATTACAGTCTTCTTTAACACACACTGTACACCACTGAACACACAATGCAGCACATTGTACACTACTACTTACACTACTAAAATCACAATGTTGTACATCGTACACTCTTCTTTACACTACTAAACACACAATGTAGCACACTGTATACTCTTCTTTACGCTACTAAACACACAATGTAACACACTGTATACTCTTATTTACACTACTAAACACACAATGTAGCACACTGTATACTCTTATTTACACTACTAAACACACAATGTAGCACACTGTATACTCTTCTTTACATTACTAAACACACAATGTAGCACACTGTATACTCTTTGTTACACTACTAAACACACAATGTAGCACACTGTATGCTCTTATTTACACTACTAAACACACAATGTAGCACACTGTAAACTACTAAACACATAATGTAGCACATCCTTCTTTACTCTACTAAACACATAAGTTATATTATTCCTGATAACAGAAAATGTGCATTGCAATGGAATTTCAGTATCACATTCATTAAAATATTGAACAAGTAAAAAAGTACAAGAAAGGACTTTATATTCTTAGTTACAGCTGCGAATAGACACAGTACAATATCAATTATTTAAGGCCTATCGCTATAATTTTGGAAACACAAATGTTTAAGTTACTTATCTCCAGTTCTTACTCTGTATGAAAACTTCTCCGTAGCTGTGGTTCTTCCTGCATTGTTACCAACAACGACTTCAGCACTCTTGATAGTAGGGCTTTCACCAGTACGACAGACTACTCTATAAATGCCAAGAACACTTTGCTGCAACATCATTTATTACTGCAAAAATACTTCACATAAAAGGAAATGAAAAAAGCATTATATTCAGAACAACAATGGCAAACATTATAACTAAACATTAAGAGTGTCTTTCTTAAACAAAAATGAAGAAAATTTTGTACAGTAATATGGTACGTAGTAAACATTATTGTTTTGTACAGTAACATAGTATGGAGTAAATATTATTGTTTTGTACAGTAACATGGTAGTGTAGTAAATATTATTGTTTTGTACAGTAACATGGTATGTAGTAAAGATTATTGTTTTGTACAATAAGATGGTGTGTAGTAAAGATTATTGTTTTGTACAGTAACATGGTATGTAGTAAAAATTATTGTTTTGTACAGTAACACGGTATGTAGTAAAGATTATTGTTTTGTACAGTAACATGGTGTGTAGTAAAGATTATTGTTTTGTACAGTAACATGGTATGTAGTAAAGATTATTGTTTTGTACAGTAACAAGGTGTGTAGTAAAGATTATTGTTTTGTACAGTAACATGGTGTGTAGTAAAGATTATTGTTTTTACAGTAACATGGTATGGAGTAAAGATTATTGTTTTGTACAGTAACATGGTATATAGTAAAGATTATTGTTTTGTACAGTAACATGGTATGTAGTAAAGATTATTCCCATGATGGTAATCTATATGTGTTACAAGCAAAAGTACCCGTCCCCAGTGACAAGAAAAGTTTAAGTTAATCTATCAATTTAAATTATTTCATGAAATTTAAAAAGGTTAATTGTCTTTCACCTTTGGTTTCACTCAGAGCCAAAGCTCTGAGCTACTTATACCACCCACCACGAAAAGTAATTGCTGAGCATTTCAGTCATGCTAAGAGCCACTCAACAATAACATACGGTAAATCTACATTGATATTCTTTAAGTTACGTCACATTTTGAAATGTAAATTATAGTGTGATTAATTCCTAACAATTTAATGTGGAATATCTTGCTTGCGAAATAAAATCTGGCATCAACATTATTCATGCCTGTTCTTTCATCATTTCAAATGTGAATGTTAAGCTTTGCCTGCGTGCGCAGCTTTTTAATCGGGAGACAGATGAATGCTCGGACAATATATATATAAGATAACAATAATTATGATGCACTGTATTTGAATATTTATCTAAGTGTCCCACATTAGCATAGTTTTCTAAGTACACTAGTTGTTAGGCCTAAATTGATCATGATTACTTTCTCACCTAACAGAGACATTGTATTCCACCACTTTGCAAGGGATCCCACCAATCGTAATTTTATCTTGGACGTCTTCTTTTTTCGTTCCTAAGTTACTACCTTTTATTGTCACCATGGTGCCACCTTGTCGAGGACCTGTGATAGGGTATATCTGTTCGGAAAATTTCCAGTTAGTATGCCTTTTAAAAAAAAAGGAAAATGCTTACAATTCACTTTATACAAATGTTTAAACATCTTAGTTACTTTGAAACTTTTGTTAGGAAAGATTTAAACGAAGAGTAAAGTCGGATTACTTATCTTCCTATCCCTTCTCACACAACAAAGTCGAAATCATTAAAAATGTTGTTAATTCAGTGAACTCACTGCTACAGAATGTTTATGTTATCAACTTTTCATCTTTTTTATTTGTCTTTATTTAGTAGGAATGTATCTTCAAACAAACGTATATACTAGGTTTGTTTGTTTGTTTTAGAAAAGCTGCACAGAGGCTATCTGCCCAAAGTCATCACTAATTGTGAACCGACTGGAGAGAAAACGGACAATCAACAACGCCCACCGCTGTTGTGCTACATTTTGTTTAGCCGAATACTGAGGTTTGACCGTCACTCTTATAACGCGGACTATGAACTCTCAGATTCGCAGTGTGATCACGCTAACCTCTGTGCCATGCCCTGCCCATAATGGTTATCTGTGCTAGCCGTCCCCAGACGAGGCAAATAATGAACAGCAACCATTCTAAACTCATCTAATTTAATAAAGGGATTTAACAATCACTCTTATCACACACCCAAAAGTGTGAAGGATGAATTATTTGAGTGCAATATACAGGCCACGCCTGGGCCCAAACTGTAGCAGAGATGGGTCTTCCTCAGCTAACGAAAGTTTTGACACCATAAACGAAGGTTAATTTAAAAGGCAGAATTTCAAATGTATATATATATATCTTTCTTGTTTAAAGGAGGAAGATTTTTTTTTTTGTTATCCGGTAGGCGACAGCACTGCCTATGTGGGATGGCTCAGATTGTTCATCGAAATGGTATTTTAAATATCTCCTCAATAGGTCATCATAACTTTACAATACTATACAGTGTTTCCTTTTATAACAATATCTATGTAATGACTGAGTCACAAATTCTGGGAATGTCTGTAAATTTCTTGTTCTTCTTTCTTCTGCTTCTTTTTCATTACATGATAATTCAAAAACCAAGATCCCTACATAATGTCACAGGCACACGTTGTGGTAGAATGTTAGCAGACAAACATAGGATAAATTAAACTCAATTGTGATTGAATAGTTATATATAGTGCTATATGTTAATTTTTGCCTGTACTATTATGTAGGGATGACACAAATGCCATCCCTACTATCTTGTTTGTATTGTTTTTGAAGGACTGATATTAGCCATCCCTACATTTACTTCCTTTTTTAATTTTTTTCTTTACTTGGTAAACACAAAGCTACACCAGTGGCTATCTGTGCTGTTCTCACCACGAGAATCGAAACCCTTTTTCTAGCAGTGTGAGCCCTCAGACTTACTGTTGAGAAACACTATTCTGCCTTACTGTCAGAATGTTTATAATGCGAGTAACTTACACATTTCTGCAGAAGTTCAAACTTATCAAATAACCCACCAACTGTAGTAAGTTTATCTGGCTGAAAAAATACACACATTATAAAACCGGCTACCTGGTGGCGAAAGGAGCGATAAGAACTATACGAAGACAAACATTATATAATAATTTATTATTTGTTTGTTTTTTGGAATTAAGCACAAAGCTACACAATGGGCTATCTGTGCTCTGCCCACAACAGGTATCGAAACCCGGTTTCTAGCGTTGTAAGTCCGCAGACATACCGCTGTGCCACTGAGGGGCAATAAGTTATTGAAGGGAGCTTTCAGCTCGAGCGAACTTAAGTTATGATGAGTTAAGAGTTTTTCATCCAATGACCTTACACAGACTTTGGTTCAAAGGTCAATTACACAGAAGAATGATAATGAATACAGATAAATAAGTACAGAATACGACGAAGACTCGAAAGAAAAGTATATATTTCTAATAAAACATACCCGTGTTTGTTTGTAATTAAGCACAAAGCTACACAATGGGCTATCTGTGCTCTGCCCACCACGGGTATCGAAACCCGGATTCTAGCGTTGTAAGTCCGCAGACATTCCGCTGTGCCACTGGTTGTTTTTGTTTAAGCGCGAAGATGCACAATGGACTATCTGTGATACGTCCACCGCGGAGATCGAACTCTGAATTTTACTGTTACAAACCTTCAAGTTATTGGTTGATAAACAACGAACAGAGCATCAGAGCAGCGAAACAACTTCAGATTAACAAATAATTATTAAACTTATTTATTTATTTATTTAATGTATTAAAAATGACATTTTTTTTTCCAAAAGTCATTTGGGCATTATGGTTGTTAATGAAACATCATTTGTGCCCATTAATTTTTTTTTATTTCTGTTATTGTTTTAATTGTATTATATTATTTGGGGCATTCAAAGTACCACTGATGGAGCAAGTGATATAAGCATCAGAAGAAATTCGTTTCGGTTAATGCAGATCTACTTCGTTATGACGTAAAATCCATTATGATAACATAAATATCATTAAACAAATATAATTCACGGAGAACGTGCTAAACAACAATCGATTTCAATGTGACTAACCATACGTGAAGTTTTGAATACAATTATTGTTCACTTTCAATTGAGTTACTTAACATAATGTTTTTTGTTTTTTTTATGTACAATAAGGCATAATGCACTATTCCAAATATTCACACGTTTTATTTTTGTTTTTTCAAATTAAGGTTCCACACAAACCTACAATGATATTCTGGAAACGTGTAAAGGTAACACATTGAAAGAGGCGATTTGCGCATGTGCATAGTTGGTTTTTTCCAGATCACTCACGAGGAGGGATGAATTGTTTGTTTTATCGTAAAGCCACATTGGGCTATTTGCGCTCTATGCACCACCGTGAAGAATCGAACCCTGGATTTTAGTGTTGTAAGTCCTTAAACTTACCGCTGACCCTCCGGGGGACCCAGGGGGGGGGTGAAATTCGTCGTACTTTCCCAAATTAAACCCAAGGGCAAAAATGATACAATATTTCAGAATAGGAAATTATTTTCAAAGCTTTTAGCGCCAAAAGTCAAATTTTACTTTCACCCAGCTTGAGTTTATTTCATAAATTACAAAAAATATAGGGGCAGACTCAGGAAAACTTTGTTTCATGGCCAAAGTTCTTTAACCTATAAACAGGCTGCTAGTGACCAATATTTAGACTGCCGAAGATTAGATTGACGTAATTTCTGTTCTTTATATTATTTCGCAGCTTTTGATTGGACAAAAATATCAAATAATCATGATGAAAGAGTAGCATAAATGATCCTAAAAAAATTACAATAAATTAGATTTTAAAAGACCCAAAAACTCGAGCATTTTTAACTAGTTGACTATCTTCTTTAGGAATAAAAAGAATGTGAAATAATAAATATGAAGAAAGTACACGATAAGTGAGTAAAGGTGGCCGTGAAAGCTGACCAATCCCAATTAAAGAAAGAATTTACTTGGGTTTAGTTTGTTTTGAATTTCGCGCAAAGCTACATGGGATTTGTTTGCGCTAGCCGTCCCTAACTTAGAAGTGATAGACCAGAAGGCAGCACGTTAACACCACCCACCGCCAATTCCTGGACCCCTCTTTTACCAACGAATAATAGGATTGACCATCGCATTATAACGCCCCCACGGATGAAAGAGCGAGCGTGTGCCCTAACTACCAGTTCGTATCGGTTTATAAATATGCAGTATTTTAAAACTACCAACATTTTCTAATCAAACAAATTAAACGAATCATCCAAACCAAAGAACATTTAATTAAATTAACATATTAAAAAAATATGTGTGTGTTTGTATAATAAAAAAACACAATTAAAGATTTTACGACAAAAACATGAACTGAACCCTTTTTTCTCTCCATACATACCTTTTGTAAAATGTCCGTAGCTCTAAATAAACATTAAGGTTATAATGAACCATTTTTATGCTGAAAAGTAGCATTTCTGGAAAGGGAGGTGGGTAGTAGAGGTGCTGAGGGTGCAGCAGCACCCCTATTACAGAGATTATTCCAGCTTCAATGTTTTAGGACACCAGAAAGTATTGAAGTTTTATTACACATATATTGGGCCAGATGAGAAAATGTTTTTTAACCTTTAGAGGAAACACATAATGAGAAAGATTAAGAAATATCAGTAAACAATTATAATAAAGTTTTATGGAATAACATGTAACACCTTTGCAACCTATCGTGTGAACGAGAAATATGAATTAAAAATCTTGTGACTAGCGTCTTGTGACATTTTTCTCATATAGGCTATACCAAATAATCTATATACATATCATTTACAAATATGTCTGAATTTCTTTTCCTCACCAAAACGTGAATTTCAACGAATAAAAAACGACACAGAGGTAGGCCTAACATATTCTTTGATTATTCTACTTCCGCTGCAGTAGACTAGTTTCGTCGAATTCACAGCTCATCAGTGCTGCTTGGAAGAATGAAGTTAACTTATTATACTTATACTCTGGGTGATAATTTTGGTTACGTCCTTTCAACCTCAACGTGTTTG